AAATTTTGTTTGTGAGGTTCAATAAATGTTGACACCCCCCRAGAAATCACCCAAAATACGCCACTGTATCGCACTACGTAATTATTATATTCTACTGCTATATTAAAGCGAAACTTATCGTTGTTTGAAATAAAATGACCGCTATATTTTTATTTATATTTAGAGCTAAAAAAAACTTAACTGAACATTTTTTTAAAATAATTATTTGATTCATATATACAATATTATCATTTATCGCTACAGTCATGTTTTTAGCTACAATGTTGTTGCACTTAATATTATAGTACTTACTACTTTTTTTTGTGTATACCATCGTTTATTTGAAATCGGCATAGTTCATAATAATGATTAATAAAAATAATAACAATTCATAAAATATTTTAATATTTATTTTTTCATTTAGAGTACGTCATGTTATAATATAAGTTGGGCAAGGATGACAGATAACGGAGTTTCTACTACTTCCTTTACCCAATCAATATCATAGGTTAGGTTAAGTTACTCGTTAAGTACATAAACATTTTTCAGCAAATATTTCTAAAAAATCGTTTTAAAAATACTCTTGTCTTTTATAAAAACTTACGTTACCTAAAATCAGAGTAGGTACATTGATTATGATCGTGGACTAATTGGAAATGATTATAACACTATGTTTTTGAATTTATGCAAAATACGTATGATATTGATATCGGTTAACGTTAAAGTTTAATTGGAAGTTACATACGTTTGGACATTAATACTTCTTCTAAATATTTCAACTTAAATACTTGTATTATGTATTTATGTATATTATATAGGTAATGAGTAGTGAGTACATAGTAAATACGTTTAATATAAAACATAAAATTGTACCAACCAATTACCTACGTTGCAGTCTATGAAAACGATTAGATTATAATACATGAAATCAATTCATTATAGTTATTTTATTAACATTGATAATATAATTATAATATTTATATTTCAATTAAGATTAGTTAATTTATGTATACTAAAACTTACGCAGTTATTTTCCTACAAAGTTACTAATATTAAGCTCTAAACTCTAAAGTGTCAAGAATAGTTGTAGTTGATTGTTCCGTTTAGCACTTTTTAATAATATAATATAATTTAATTAAGTCGTTTGTGTGAGCCATCGCTGGAGTCGCCTGGAGTATATTATAATACACTTAACAGTTGGTTTAATTTATGGAACTCTGCGGTTTAACAGGAACTCGACTAATATTCTTTACAATTCTTCAACTGCTTTTTACTGCATGTATAAATGAATAAATTTAAATTACAATATGTGTTTGTTGAAGAATGTATACTGAAGTATATTTTTGCCTAAAATGATGTCAGATGTATAAAACATATGCATAGTATCTATTTTAATATTTATATGTTTTATATGTTTTATGTATAGGTAATATATCAATGTATCATGTATGCAATTCAATTCAATATTATACCATTTTGATGGAATTAATTACAATGTTTAATGCGTTTAAATCAGAAATGTAAATAGATTAAAAAAACAATAGTCATCAAATTTTGCACTTATTATTTACTTCGCAAAACGACTATTTACTATCCTGTTTGTGTATGTGTATGCATTTTCCTGTCGAGATAAGAAAATGGCAAATAATAAATAAAATATATTTCATTATTATTTTTTACTGTGGTGTGTGTGACATTATATAATTTCATTACAATTTAAAACCTTTTTTTCATTTGTTTAATACAATATAATATTGTCCTTGGATATACGAGCACTTGAGTATCTATATACTATATAGTATGTTTAGACTATAGAGCATAGGTATATTTATTATACATTTAAAAAGAATATCTGTGCTTAAATTTAAAATTTGTCAGTTATCACTTATCATAGCGTGTCACTATGGATGTCAGCGATGAACATAAATTCTATAGAATTTATACTCAATGAACAATATGGTGTAAAATTACATTTTATACATGTATATATTATGTATGTATGTGTGCGCTTGTCTATAGTGTTTTGTGTTATGTACACTGTATACATGGCTACATGTCTACGTATACGTGATATAAACTGGTCATTTCAAATAGGTTCTTATAAATTGTAATCATTAAAAGCCTGTGTAACAAAGAACATTTCGTAGTGGGTGGGGTCATACGTAAAAAAAATAATTAACAAATTAATACTACTTGATCATGTCCAAAAGCAGATATTTTTTGAAAATCTTTCAATCACCACTTTTAACTTACCTGAACCTTACATGTCAAATTGTAAGATATTAGTTTTTTTCAATTTTTGTTTATAAATAAATAAATTATTAAAATGTGCTAATTGCGTTAAGGTTACATGAAGCCAGAAGAGTTAAATTATTCGAATATTTAATCTTCCGTCTTAATCATTCATCGACTGACGACTATTTTGATTTTTTTCTTCTATACAATATGATTTCTGTTAAAACTGTCAACAAGAAACTTCGCCACGCGTGAGCTTTACAAATTTCATTGATGAGGGCAAAAGAAAAGCATAAATATATTTTTAATTCAGGCAGTTTAGATTAGTTAAGATTTGTTTAGTTGAATGTTCTATTTTTATTCTTTAAGGTATTCCTTTTGAAAATGTATTACTATAGTTGTGACTCACACGCACAGTGAATGCGTTTATTTTTATAAATAGAATGTATGCAATATGCATAATAACAATATGAAAACACTAACGCTAAAAATATATAATTTCCTGATTTTCAACTAACATTTTATTAGAATTATTTTATTTTTAGAAAAATGCATTAAATTTATCATTATTATACATACACCGTTCATGTGTACAGGTTCATTTCATTGTTTTCTGTTGTTAGTTAATAAATTGTACTGGATATATTATTATTGTGAACCATTTTTTGCTTTTATCTGAATTCATTTCATTACACATTGTTTCTTATTTTAAATTATTGAGATTAAAATTTTGTTTAATTCTATTATGTTAAGTTAGTTCCTTAAATTCAAGGGAATTTGAATACGAGTTCATGTTGACTACAGACTATGATTTATAAAATGACTAATGGTAAAATCTGCGTAGTATATTCTAAGAAGACCAATTTTATCAAGTATCGCAATTTATCCCACTGACATAATATTTGATTGATTCTATCCAATTGATAGCAATAAAAATAAAATTAATAAATAACAAAGATTTAAAAAAATCTAGTTCTCTATTAATCGCAGCCTAAAATCATCTTATTCGCCGTGACCAATGTGCTTATTGGTGTTGTGCCATTAAAAAAAATATTACCTACATGCCATTTAAAAAAAAATTGTTATGCTGCTCAAGTTTGGAGATTTGGAGATTTATAGAAAAGATTAGTCATAATCAATTAATCAAATAATATTTCATGGATAAATTTATTTTTAATCATCATAGTGATGCTTGGTTCTTTTATTACCTACCTCTAGTTTATACTACTTATATACAGGGTGATTCTTATATCAATCAACACTCATATGGTGTTTGTGTGTTGATACCACCTAACATACACCTATAACACACAAACACCACYCAAAAYCACCCAACTTTGGRTGGCTATATCTTGTGAACGGATTAACAAAAATGAAAATTTAAACGTGAAAATTCATTGAAAAAACAGCCTTTTTAGTTTATGAAATTTTAAGTATAGGTTGTCATTTGAAAACCAAAAGTTAATAATGGTTTACCTGATAAATATAAGGGTGAAAATATTAATAAAATTTATAGTTCTAGAACAAGATAGATCTAAAATTTTGAAAAAAAAAAATTTGGAAAAAGCCAATAGTTTTTGAAATAATGAGTGTTGTTTGATAAAAGAATCACCCTGTATAAATATATATAGTGTAATAAGAAAAGTTTTAAAATAGAAATGCAGAATAACTCTAACACTATCATAATCATAAATATTATGTGCAGTTAAACTCTTGCCTGTCCAGTGTCCATATAATATTTTTAAATATCTTATGTATCTTGTGAATCCACATAACTTTAGATACGAGGATTTGTGCACTAACATCCAAAATAAAGAGCTTTTAAAAAATAAACAATTATAAATTGTAAGACTTATAATTACTATCAATTCCCAACCATTTTTCAGTTATTTTCATAAAAAAAAATATAACTGCTTAAACTAGTTTAATAATTGATTTAAAAAAAAATAAAATATTTGAGGATTTTGTGAAAGCAAACGAAGTTTTGTCTAAAATAGAGTTCAGTAATGAACAGGAAACGTTGATTTATAGTGGTTATATTGTGTTAGGATTTTTTTCGAGCATGTAAACTTTACTCTATACTAAAATGCAACAATGAGAAACGATCCTCTTAAACACAAATATCATTGTAAAAGCCTGCAGTAGTTAAAATTCGCACACTAACTATATTTAAGTTGATTTTGAATCAGATCCTGCAATGACTCGATTAAATATATATATACACAAAATACATTCATATTGACCATTCGATAGACGCACAAGTCTTAGAAAATTAAATGCTTAAATATTTAATTTGCTGTCTATTTACTGAACTTTTTATCGTTAATATGTTGTATTAGAAAACTTCTTAAACTTAGAAATTAAATGCATGCACGGAGGACGATTTTTGGGACTGGATGAGAGGAATTTGAGCCATAAAACGTTTAGCTTTGAATCCGATAATTAACCACGAATAAAGACAACAATATTATATACCCAATACATAATACACCTTAAACCCCATTCGTTTTGTTTCAGATTCATGTACAAGAACACGGTGGAACTGAAATCTGTGGTTACCGCGCTGGAAACGCTAGGGCTGGCCAACAAGTACATGTGCGTGGACCTGGTTGACGAGTGCATCGTCTACCTGACTCGCAACCTGACCGTGGACACGGTGCTCATGGTGTACCATGCAGCCAGGCTATACGGTGGCCAGACTGCGCCACGCCGTGAACAGCCCGCTGCTTGTTCACCAGCGGCCACAGCCCGGGCCACCGCGCCGCCACTGCAAGACTTGATGCCGGCGGCCGTGGCCGCCGACGACGCGCATTCCGAGGCGTTTGCTCGCATGGTCCAGCACTACGACACACTGTTGGAGTATTGTGGCGCATTCATCGACAGGAACGCCGATCGGGTGATGACTGATGAGAGCGTCGACGAACTTGACACGGTCGAGCTAAGGGAACTGCTTCGTCGTGACGGACTGGCTGTGTCCAGTGAAATGGTGAGGCGACGCTCATGTATTATATTGTGAATAGGCTCGAATTAAAAAAGTCTAGAAACCAATGAAACCATAGTCTAWATATATATAGTTAATAATCATTATTAATATTTGTATTGAAAAAGCGGGTAAGTCGTAGWTGTCGCTCTGCTGTACAGTAGGCTTATAAGTGGGTTACTGTAAATACTGTAATGGATGGAATTAAATTTGAATCCAATGATATTATATCATTGCATACGAAAAACGATTCTGAGCGGAAACGGTTTATCTGACTAGGCTATATTATAGATTATTAAAAATTTTCAAATCTTAGATTTAAAAAGAAAATTTTTTTATGAATTTTCAAGCTTAAAATAATTTGCGAATTTTGGTGGTTTTTACGTATGTTGTCAAAATTAAAATTTGAATGCTTGTAAAAAAAATTTGTGACTATGTATTTATTTTATTTTTCAACTGCTATTGTAAACATTTTTAGGAGCCTTTTATTAAATTTGCAAGTCTTAGATCTAAAAAGAAAAACTTTTTTGAATTTCTATCTAAGATAATTTGAACATTGCYGTAATTTTTACGTATTTAGTCAAAATTTGAACTTTTAATACTTATAAAAAAAAATCGTGTCTATGTATTTTTGATATTTTTCAACTGCTATTGTTACAATGTGTTAGAAGCTTTGTATTAAATTTTCAAGCTTTTATACAACACATACATTTTTATCGATATTTATAGAAAAAAAACTAAAAAAGTTGAAAAATTAAAATGTCAGTAAACAACTCAAAACGAATTTAAATATTTTGAAAATTTTTTCAAATATAGAAAATGCCTATATAAACATTCAGTGATAATTTCAATTATCTGCAATCATTTKTTTTAGAGTTACACCAAAATAAAGAAATCGCTAAAAGTGAAAATCCAATGTTGTAAAAATTTAAATTTCAAATGCTCATAAAAATTTAATTTGAATTTCCGGTGGACATTTTTTTTGTGATAAGGATTGACAAACTTATAAGAAATCTAGTATTACATTTTAAAATCTTAGATTTAAAAAGAACATTTTTTATGCATTTCTACCTTAAAATAATTTTTGAATTTTCGTGATTTTTACGTATTTTGTCAAAATTCAAACTTTGAATGCTTATAAAAAAAAATTGTTGCTATGAATTTCTTTTATATTTCAACTGCTATTGTAACAATATGTTTAAAACCTTGTATTACATTTTCAAGATCTTCTACCAAAAAAAATAAATTTTTATCGATATTAATTTAAAAAAAAACTAATAATCGAAAATTGCATATGCCTATGAATAGTTCAACTTAAGTCGAAAATTTTTGAAAATTGCATGGTGGATAGAATATACTTATATAAACATTCGGTGAATGCATCTATTATGGTTATTTTTTTAAAAGTTACATCAAAAACCAAAATTGATTTTGTCGAAAATTGATTGTACGTAAAATTTTCCGTTTTTTCCTTAATTTTTTGTTTATCCCGATTATTTAGAAAAATATTAAGAATACCAACTAGATTCACTTTCTGATCGAACGAAGTACTGAAGTTTAAAATCGAAGCACTTTGACTGCCCCAAAACGTGATGACAGACACAAAAAAAAAAAATAATAAAAACACACATCATGGTAAAATCAATACATTCATCGCTCCGCTCAGAATCTAAAATTATTTATAAAAGTGCGCGTGCCGTATGGAGTAGGATGATTTTCTTATCGAGCTACACACTCGTTAAATATCAAAAACACGAACATTATATATAGATCAAAACATATGGGGTTTACWCGACACGTTTTTGTCTGAGAAATTTAAAAAATAAATTACTATATAGACGAACGTCAACAGCGTGTTAAACTATAATACACAATAACTGTCCTCCACGAATATGATGCGATAACTACAACAGACAATCGTGGTCCACATATACGTTATAGTACTACAGTATTATGTAATATGTAATATCCTGTATGTCTTTTTATTTATYGCCATATTAATCTAAAATTTAGAAGTCTCCTACCCTCTACTAATCGTATCTTTTTTTAAGAGTAGCATGACTTTCACCMGAATTTTTATTTTATCACTTGTGAATCTCCTGTTCCGAAATTATATATTATTGATTCATTCCATTATCGGTCCCATTTAGATGTGATTAATATTGGGTGACTTCAAAAAGCTTTTGAATTTTGATTCACGGTCTGCAGAGTTTGGGGAGCTTCGAATATCCTTGTTCAAATTCTACCATGATCACTAATATAAATGGGYTGAAGTGATTGATATAAAGTAAAATGTAAACTATCTACTGATTCATCTGGGATCCCACACGGAGGAGTTCTCCTATACTGCTTTCCTAGACCTTAGTTATTAACACCGTTTATCGACTGTAGTGCCACTGTCCCATATACGTTGTTTCTCAGATAACATCAAACTATATGTGCAAGTACATTGTTCAATCGTTAATTGTTCAAAATGACAGGCAGACTTTGAAAGCTTCTTTGAATTGCATTTATCAATCAATCGCACCAATCGTATAGGATTTTTACATTCGCTAGCAGTGGCGTATGGGTTCTAAACCACTCACCATATTATGAAAAACATGATGTATATATAATGATATTTCTAATGAATATTCTACGGAATATTAAATAATATAATATTTAGGTATAAACTGACATGTTATATAATATTAAAATATTAAATGTTATGTATAATACTCTAGTAACAATGTATGTTTCACGTTGGTGTTTTAATGCGTACAGGATAGCACCAGTGGCGTATTTRGGATTTTGTCTAGAGAAGGGATATACTTTAGTAAACATTGAATCTCTAAGGGGAGGGGGTAGTTCACTTGCCATCGACGCAACACAATATTGTATGAATAAGTAACAAATAAGAGACCAAGGGGATCCCCCCCTCCCCCGTAAATACGCCATTGGATAGTACTAATTACACGAACACTACATAACATAATACATTACTGGACATGATGGACACCTGTCTTACCTAATTACGTATCGCGCAGGTGCTGTTCGCGACGCTGGAGCGGTGGTGCACGCACAAGTGCAAGCAACAGCACTTAGAACTGACGGTGGCCAATCGACGGGCGGTGCTGGACGACACGGTGCTGCTGTCGGTGCGCTACCTGCAGATGACGGCCAACGAGTTCCTGTCGGGCCCGATGCCCAGCGGTCTGCTCAACGCCCAGGAGACGGCGGTGCTCATGAAGCACATACTCAACCCCAAACAGCCGAAGTGGACGTGCCAGCGGTTGACCAAGGAAACGCTCGAGTACATGAGCACGCCGCGGGCCAAACGGAACCACGGGGCCGCGGGCGCCGGCGGCGGGCTGTCGTACGTCATCAAGCGGCGGTCATCGTCGTTCAGAGGTACCGCGAGCGACCCGCACCGTTGCGACGGCGACGACAGCAGTCAGTCGTCCGAGTTCGACTCGCCGAAGCGGTCGTTGTGCTGCGCGGGCGGCAAGAAGAACAAGAAAAACGGCGGCACCGGCAAGAAGAACAAGAAAAAGTGTATGGACAGCTGTTTTTGCAATTGTCTGATTTACTGTTTGGACGTGTGTTTCGGTTGAACGCGGCCGCCGGATCTCTTCCCCTCCCCACTTCCACAACACCATCACTCATGCACACACACACACACACACACTGACCTAATTGTCCGTTATATAATAATAATATGTGTGCCGTGTGTGTATTTGTAGAGATTAATTTTATTTACCTTAACTAGAAGAAAAAAAACACAAAAAGATCTCAAAATAATATTATTTTTTCCTTTTTGTATAATAATATAAATGATATATGCCCAGAGTTCATCCCTCCACGCCTTCCAGGTTATCGGATGCTGTACATGTATTATACATAACAATAATATTAAATTAATGTATATATATATATATATACTGTCATACGGAGTGGTAAAGGCCTTCTTAGTACTTTAATTTCTTTACAACACTTTTGAACAAATACAATCATTTAAATATGTACAACAATATAATGTATTATTATATTGTGCAGTGCCTATTTGTATAATTATGAGGAGTCACCCGTACAATATTATACGAAAAGTCTGACGAATTATTATTATTATTATTATTATTTTTTTTTTTGATATACGCAAACACGTATACCACTCATAATATTTTTATATTATGTCATTATTATAGACACCTTGCGCTAGCATGTTGACGATTATTAAATATTTCCAACGCTCCATAATAAATAATTTAATATATATATATATATATATATGTTTCTGTCGATAAATTATTCCTAGTAACCGAGATTCAAATCAATAATGGTCTAATATTATATTTATAATAGTTAAACTTTGTTATTATTATATTATCACGCTCAACGAAAATAGTTTTTCAACACAATCCCTATACGGTTATACACACACTTATTGTATCATARTAATATGTACCATAGTGCCATACGTCTTAAAGTTAAGTTTTATTTTTCACGAATTTTACAGCAGCGGTTTAGGTACGTTTCTTTCGCCCCGACCGTCGACATGATATAATAGTGATGAACAATAGAAAAATAACAAAATKTTTAATGATTGCCTATGCCCTATACGCATTACAACGATATTGAAATATAATATAATATATTTAATATAATAATATAATTTATTACTCCGTCTCAAGTTCCCCGAGCACTTTTCCCTCGTACGAACAACACACCACCTCCATCGGTGGCACACACGTGCAGCAGCAGACCATAATGTAATAATGTTATTATTATATTAGCATAATACTACGCGTCAAAAATGTTTTCGTCCGCACCACGCGGTTACCACTCTATGACGACTCGATTAAAAAAATGGTTTTTAACGACATTTCGTGCCAGTTACGTCCCAACCGTATACAATATAATATTACGATAATAACGCCGCCACGTTTTAGGACCAATAACTATTTAATACCTATTTTTTACTCTCCATAAAACAATAATATAATATTTATGCACATTATCACTAATATAATATTATATACGCATAAACATTACATATATATATATTTTATATTATTAATATTATKTGTTGTAGTCATTATTGGACGCGAATCGCCATCACATTGACGTATATATGGGTACCAATTTTATCATGTTGCTGCACGAGATGATATTTACATCTTATTGCAACTCACATCCGCCCGACAACCTTTCTTGCTCCCCTCCGTCTTTCCGTTGGCCGTGTTTGCCGGACTGCACTAGTGTTTTTTTCGCTTCGCACGCAAAAAAGTTATTTGAACTTAGTCACTATCCTTTGAACAAAAAAAAGTATACTTAAATAGGGAACGTAAGTACATGATATATATGTATAATAAACCTATATATTGTCGTAGTGATTGTATAATATGAAATATATTGTCACTATAATTATTTACATATTTATATATTATTTGGTACCATTCAAATATATACATATATAAGCATGGTTAATACGGACAAACTATATTTTATACTATTTTATDATTATTTTGTGAAAAAAGTGATTTTATTATTATTATTTTTTTCGTGTTTATTGACAAAAACTGATATTTTTATTGTTTCGTGAGTAATTTTTAAGTGTTTTAACTTTTAAGTATTTGTATTTTTGCGTTTTTATGAATCGAGCTGTTATGATATTATTTACCTATCGATCGTGTTTTATTGTTGCTGTTTACATTTTAACTAAATTACCGCCCTCAGAGCTTCCTCGATGACCTTTCCCCCCGAAATGTCTGTATTATTATTACCATATTATTATTAAGCCGTTATATTGAATGTTTAAATTACATTTAATAMATTTTTGTTCGATATTATTATAATACCTTCATATTATATTATTATAGTTTACTTTCGGGTTTATATAAAAAAAAAAAATTGTTTACCATCTAAATTCTATATGTATTTGCGATAAATGTATCATATTATATTAATCGTAGATCATCGTTTTTAATTGTTTTTTCCGATATTTTCGGTAATTAAAATTTAATGATTGATATTATATTATAATTATTAAACTATATGTTTATTTTTGTCGTCATCAAGGGTAAAATGTTTAGCACGCGATTTATATTATGGMTCTAGTCAATACCATTTACGATATTGTTAGTTTTAAATATTTATAATTTATATTGGCGCTTTGTACGAACATTAAATAATATGTATGAAATATAAATCACATATATATAATATATATCTACGTAAGTATATTACTGTGTTGTTTTTTTTTTTTTTTTTAGCAATAATTCCGTTTTTTTCCCACGCAAAACTTAAAATAATAATTGTTTTATTTAACGTATACGTCGAAAGGAAAAAAAAAACCGTTTGTAAGTAACCGACAAATTATTGTAATAATAATATTATGCACAATGCCATGCGAAACGCAAACGGACGACGAGGCCAACTATAAGGCGGGCTGAGTTTTTTTTTTCGAATTTCGCACACACATCTGCGCCGTTCGCGCGTGTTTGGTCGATCGGTCGGCCGCGCTCGTCGTCGCCGGAACAGATGTAAGCTATATATTATTATTATTATTATGGCACAATGGTGATGATGATGATGATGATAATAATAATATTCGTGCCGGCCAGACCGTCAACATAATTTCACTGCGCGTCAACTGAAACGTAGGTACCTACCCCTTTTTATAATCTGGTCATTATTTTGTTTTTTTGTTTCACCCGCCCGCCGGTGACGTAGCCGTTTTCGGGTTGACCTAAATTTGATATACACGTGCCCCACAGACACGCGGCTCGCACTTCGGCACAGCTGCAGTTTTTCTTTGCCAATCCGACGAGCTGTACACGCCGCCGTGTGTCTATATAATGATATATRTCATCAGTGTCCATAGGTAGGTATTATAATATTCTTCTCTTATCTGACATTCAATATTCTGCATTTTATATTATATGGGTCAATGTTTAGGTGCACCTAAGTGCTGCGCTCGTGAATAATGGCCGCCGGGATTTGGTGAATATCCTGCAGATAAAGTTCACAGCGTAAAATATAAAATGGTTCGTGACGTACCGATTGGCC